GTATCCAAACAGGTAGAATCAGGTGGGGGGGATTTGGGATTCGTGAGTCAGGTGAGTCACCCACACGAGTCAGTGAGTCAGGGAGGCCCAGTAACCGGAGAGTTCAGTCGGGCAGAGAGCAGCCACCGAAACGTGTTGCTGTAGGTCGCTCGTCGGTCAAGATCTGTCGGCGATAGAGCCTTCTCGGTTACATGGAGTTCCCTTTAAACGCCCAGAAGGTCAGGTGGACGACGACTGTTTTGCACGCCGTCTGGAGGGGGAAAAATTCGGCTGATGGTCTCTTTTTTTAGGCATCTAGGGGGAAAATTCGGCTGCTTGTCTCTTTTTCAGACGATATCTAGGGGAAAAGTTGGGCTTTTTGTCTCTTTCTCAGACGATATCTAGGGGGAAAGTTGGGCTGTTTGTCTGATTCTCCACGCTATCTAGGGGAAAAGCTGGGCTGTTTGTCTCTTTCTCAGACGATGTCTAGGGGAAAGTTGGGCTTTCTGTCTGATTCTCCACGCTATCTAGGGGAAAAGTTGGGCTGTTTGTCTCTTTTTCAGACGATATCTAGGGGAAAAGTTGGGCTGTTTGTCTGATTCTCCACGCTATCCAGGGGAAAAGTTGGGCTGTTTGTCTCTTTTTAGACATCTAGGGGGAAAGTTGGGCTTTTTGTCTCTTTTTCAGACGATATCTAGGGAAAAGTTGGGCTGTTTGTCTCTTTTTAGACTTCTAGGGGGAAAGTTGGGCTTTTTGTCTCTTTTTCAGACGATATCTAGGGGACAGTTGGGCTGTTTGTATCCTTTTCATACGATATCTAGGGGGAAAGTTGGACTGTTCGTCTGATTCTCCACGCTATCTAGGGGAAAAGTTGGGCTGTTTGTCTGATTCTCCACGCTAGGGGAAAAGTTGGCTGTTGTCTGATTCTCCACGCTATCCAGGGGAAAAGTTGGGCTGTTTGTCTCTTTTTAGACATCTAGGGGGAAAGTTGGCAGTTTGTCTCTTTTTTAGATGATATCTAGGGGGAAAGTTGGCTGTTTGTCTCTTCTTTAGACATCTAGGGGGAAAGTTGGGCTTTTTGTCTCTTTTTCAGACGATATCTAGGGGGAAAGTTGGACTGTTCGTCTCATTCTCCACGCTATCTAGGGGAAAAGTTGGGCTGTTTGTCTCATTCTCCACGCTATCAAGGGGAAAAGCTGGGCTCTGTCTCTTTTACAGACGATATATAGGGGGAAAGTTGGGCTGTTTGTCTCTTTTTTAGACATCTAGGGGGAAAGTTGGGCTGTATGTCTCTTTTTCAGACGATATCTAGGGGGAAAGTTGGGCTTTCTGTCTGATTCTCCACGCTATCTAGGGGAAAAGCTGGGCTGATTGTCTCTTTTCAGACGATATCTAGGGGGAAAGTTGGACTGTTCGTCTCATTCTCCACGCTATCTAGGGGGAAAGTTGGCTGTTTGTCTCTTTTTCAGACGATATCTAGGGGGAAAATTGAACGGTTTGTCTCTTTTCAGACGATATCTAGGGGGAAAGTTGGACTGTTCGTCTCATTCTCCACGGTATCTAGGGGGAAAGTTGGATGGCTTGTTTCATTCTCCACGCCATCTAGGGGGAAAATTCGGCTGTATGTCTCTTTCTCATACGATATCTAGGGGGAAAGTTGGGCTTTCTGTCTGATTCTCCACGCTATCTAGGGGAAAAGCTGGGCTGTTTGTCTCTTTCTCAGACGATATCTAGGGGGAAAGTTGGGCTTTTTGTCTCATTCTCCACGCCATCTAGGGGAAAAGCTGAGCTAGGAGGAAAGATTCACCTGTTTGTACTCTTTTCATAGAAAAAGCTCGGCTGTTTGTCTCCTTTTAGACACCATCTAGGAGGAAAAACTCGCCTCCTTGTACGCTCTTTATGGGAAAAGCTCGCTTCTTCGCCTCATTCTAGACGCCATCTGGGGGGAAAACTCGCCTGTTTGCATCTTCCGCACGCTGTCTAAAGAGGAGGATCACCTGTTTATCTCTGCACGCCGCGTAGAATAAGGGGCTCACTTGTTTGCCTCTCCATGCACGCCAACTAGGAAAGACGTTTGCCCATTTGTCTTTGTTTTACACCATCCAGAGGAAAGGATCGCCTGTTCTGCCTTCTCCGCACGCCAGCGAAACGAGCGGCCTACCTTGAACGCTGATTAGACGAGATAATCACCGGTTTGGCTCTTTTTTGCCGTCTAATGCAGTTTGGTAGTTGGCTTCGTTCGTTGTCTGATAGGAAAGCTTTGCTGTTTGTTCTCTTCGACACGTCTGTTTGTCTCCAGTCACACCTTAAGAAGAGGTTGTTTGCCTGTGTCTATTATTAATCTGAAATGATTGTTGTCTCTACTTGGATCACATCTATCGTGAAAAAAATGTTTAACTCCCTTTACACCTTATCTAGCGTACAACGACTTATTTTCACTTATCAACCTCCATGTCTCACCATCTATCACAAAAACTTACCTGTCAATTTCCACAAAACCTTCATCTATCGGAAAAGCTTGTCCATTGACCTCCATTTGTACGCCATCTATCAGAGAAACTTACGCATTGAACCGTATTCATGTCGACAAATGTGGAAAGGTATGAATGAGAACGAATATCTTCACAATACAAGAGATGTATTTAACCGGTTCCGATTATATCTTGGTCAGAAATGCATGTATTTCATGTCATGTATTTCTGACGAAGATATAATCGAAACCGGTCAAATGCATCTCCTGTATTGTGACGATATTCGTTCTCATTCATACCTTTCCACAAAGCTTACCTGTTGTTCTCCATCTATCAGAGAAGCATACCTATTGTTCTCCATCTGCGCTCCATCAATCAGAGAAGGTTGCCTACTTACATCCGTTCTCTTGAAGGCGTCCACTGTTTACGTTTTCTGTTGAGGCCGCGTGTCTCCGTTTTCTTTGAGTGTTCGCGTTTCGGCTGTGCCACTTGATTGATTGGGCTTCTGCTTGTTGTTTGGCTGCCTCTGTTCTTTGTATTGTTGTATGTGGAAGTTATTGTCATCGCATTTTCCTTCTTCATTGTTATACTGATACTGTTCTTAAACGTTATTTGAATGGCTGCTTGTGGAAGTTATTGCTTTTATATTTTCCTTGAATATGCTGATACTTTTCTTAAATGTTGCTTTAATGGTTGTTTGAAGATGTTATTGTAATCGCATTTTCCTTCTTTATCGTTATACTGATACTGTCCTTAAATGTTGTTTGAATGGATACTTGTGGATGTTATTGTAATCATATTTTAAACTGATACTGTTCTTAATTTTATTTAAATTGCTGCTTGTGGAAATTATTGTAATCACATTTTCCTTCAGTATTGTTATACTTAGACTGTTCTTAAATGCTATTTGAATGGCTGCTTGTGGAAGTTATTGCTTTCATATTTTCCTTGAATATTCTTATACTAATACTTTTCTTAAATGTTGCTTTAATGGCTGTTTGAAGATGTTATTGTAATTACACTTTCCTTCTATATTGTTATACTGATACTGTCCTTAAATGTTATTTGAATGGCTGCTTGTGGATGTTACTGTAATCACATTTTCTTCAATATTGTTAAACTGATACTGTTCTTAATTTTTATTTAAATTGCTGTTTGTGGAAATTATTGTAATCACATTTTCCTTCAATATTGCTATTTGAATGGCTCACAACAATCATATTTTCCTTGAATATTGCTTTAAGATATACTGTCCTTAAATGTTATTTAAATGCTGCTGTGTGTGATATTATTTTAATCATATTTTCTTCAATATTGTTAAGCTGATACTGTTCTAAATTTTTATTTAAATTGCTGTTTGTGGAAATTATTGTAATCACATTTTCCTTCAATATTGTTATACTTAGACTGTTCTTAAATGCTATTTAAATGGCTGCTTTTGGAAGTTATTACAATCATATTTTCCTTGAATATTGTTATACTGATACTGTTCTTAAACGTTGCTTTAATGGATGTCTGTAGATGTTATTGTAATCGCATTTTCCTTCTATAATGTTATACTGATACTGTCCTTAAATGTTATTTAAATGGCTACTTGTGGATATTATTTTAATCATATTTTCTTCAATATTGTTAAACTGATACTGTTCTTAATTTTTATTTAAATTGCTGTTTGTGGAAATTATTGTAATCACATTTTCCTTCAATATTGCTATTTGAATGGCTCACAACAATCATATTTTCCTTGAATATTGCTATACTGATACTGTCCTTAAATGTTATTTAAATGGCTGCTTGTGGATATTATTTTAATCATATTTTCTTCAATATTGTTAAGCTGATACTGTTCTAAATTTTTATTTAAATTGCTGTTTGTGGAAATTATTGTAATCACATTTTCCTTCAATATTGTTATACTTAGCTG